TCAAAGATTTTTGATTCGGACCTTTGGATTCGGACCTTTGGATTCGGACCTTTGGATTCAGACATTTTGGATTCAGACATTTTGGATTCAGACATTTTGATTCAAAGTTTTATATTCAGACATTTTTGATTCAAAGATTTTTGGTTCAGACATTTTTGGTTCAGACATTTTTGATTCAGACATTTTTGATTCAGACATTTTGGATTCAGACATTTTGGATTCAGACATTTTGGGTTCAGACATTTTTGGTTCAGACATTTTGATTCAGACATTTTGATTCAAAGTTTTATATTCAGACATTTTTGATTCAGACATTTTTGATTCAGACATTTTTGATTCAGACATTTTTGGTTCAGACATTTTTGGTTCAGACATTTTTGGTTCAGACATTTTTGGTTCAGACATTTTTGGTTCAGACATTTTTGGTTCAGACATTTTGAGTCAAAGATTTTGATTCAAAGTTTTATATTCAGACATTTTTGGTTCAGACATTTTGATTCAAAGATTTTGATTCAGACCTTTTGATTTAGACCTTTGAATTCAAACATTTGGATTCAAAGATTTTGATTCAAACATTTTTGATTCAAAGATTTTGATTCGAAGTTTTATATTCAGACTTTTTGATTCAGACATTATTTTGATTCAAACACTGTGGTTTCAGTGCCTGCTGGAGGAGGACACTGCTTGGGGACGTCATTTCAGCCGGAAACCAAGAGCAGACCTGGAAAATAACAACCCAAATATGCCATTTCTTAATAGAGGAGACTCAGGGTATCCTTCTCCAGGTAATTTGACTTTCCTAGAAATGTCATTTTCTGGGCTGAGAACTGGGATTTTTCCCATTGCCCCTATTTTTATTTAATTTAATTTTTTAATTTTATTTATTTTATTTTTGTTTTATTTTATTTTTATTTATCTTTTATTATATTTTTATTTTATTTTTTTATTTTATTTTTATTTATTTTTATTATATTTTTATTTTATTATTACTATTTCTCTTATGGAATTTAAGAGAAAAATACTATTTTTACGTAGTTCATGAAATCCCTACCACAGGTTGCCACAAATTTTCTGTTCATGGCCTATTATTGCTAAATATATCTATAATTTCTGAAATATGTATTTTATATTTAAAATATACTTAAATTATAATACGTAACATGTATTTATATTTCTATAGATTTTTATATGTTTATAGGAAAAGGTATAATATATTTTAATATATTATATTCAATATATAAAATTTATAATGTATAATATATATTTATATTTATTGCAATATATTTTTATATGAATATATAGCATAACATATTTTTATATTTACATATAAGTAGATAATTATATAAAATATAGATTTTTTTATATTTTATATTAAGTATATAAAATTTGTAATGTATACTATTTATATTTATCGAGAAATATATTTATATAAAGATATAATATAACATATGTTTACATTTACATATAAATATGTATTTATATAAAACAACATATTTTTATATTCTATATTTAATATATAAAATTTATGAGATATAATATATATTTATATTTATCTGGAAATATATGTTTATATAAATAAAACATATAACATATTTTTACATTTACATATAATTTATATTTTATGTATTTTATATTTAATGTGTAAACTTTATAACATACTACATATTTATGTCTGTATGTTTATTTAAATGTAGAATATATATTATTTTCATATATGATATGAAGTCTAATGATAGAAAACATAATTTATATTTAATATATAAATTTTATTATATTATTTAAAACATACAAAAATTAATATATATAAAAAAAATGTTAGCAATTTCCTCCCATTTGTATAAATTCCAGATTTCCCAGCTGAGAAGGAGCACAGAGAACATCTCCTCCCAGTTGGCTCTGGTGGAAAAGCTGCACTTGGAGGGGCTGAAGATTCTCCAGAACTCAGCTGAGCTTCTTTGCACCCAGGACATGGGCACAGCCTGACCCCCTGCAGCTGGAATAGCTGTGCTTTGGTGAAGATGATTTACCAGGGAATTCTCCAGAGGGAATTTCAGGGCAGGACCCTCCTTTGAGCTTCATAAACTGGGCTGTGATAATTTTCCCCTTGTGGGGGATTCACATTTCGCATAATATTTCCTTGCTCTTCGCAACATTTTTAAAGAACAGTGTATTAAAAAATATTTATTTTTACGAGTCTGCTGCTTCATTTTCCACGAGACTGCTCTGCTTTTGAAATAATTGGATTTGAAGCAGGGAAGGTGTTCTAGGGGGTGACAGAATTTAAGGAAAAAAATGCAAGAAGTGGGAGCTGTGAAGTGTTCCAGCTCAGCTGCACTTCCAGGCTGTCCTTGGGACCTCGTGGTGGACAAGAACGTTGTGCACGGAATTCCAGAAAAGTTTGGATTGGGAGGGATCTTAAACATCATCCAGTGCCACCCTCAGCCACCAGCCCAGGTTGCTCTAAGTTTATCCAGCCTGGCCTGGGACACTCTTGCCTTCCTTTAATAAAAACCTTTTTCATTCTCCCCCACCAGCTGGGTTTCCAATTTTACAACTTTACAATGAAAGTTAAAGAAGATAAGGATGGTTGGATGGTTTATTTTTATTTTTCTCCCCCTGGGGATGGTTATTTTTTAAGAGCAGCTCCTGCACAACGTGCCCCGTGAGGTGAACGCAGAGTTCGACAGGAGTTCATTTGCTTCGGGTTTGAACTGTGAATCCACTTTTATACCAGGTGGTTTGAACGTGGGCTCTGCTCCTGGAACTCCTACACACCCTCCAGGGAGGGCAGGAAGAGGGTTTGGCAGTGCAGGAAAGCAGGCAGACCACAGCAATTTATATATATATATATATTTATACCTAGTCAGCAAAACTTAACTTCTTTTTTGACTCAAACCTAAACGATGTGCCAGACAGGCCATCCTAAGCTGAGGAAGTAGCAGCGCTGGGAATGCTCTCCAGCTGTCTGACAGGACACTAAATCAGGATTTCCCAAGGTGAAAATCCTCTCCCTCGTAGTGTTTTGTTTAGTCAGAGCCCCTTGGAGCTGCTTTGCTGTAGTGATTCGTCTCTCTGGGAGTCTGAGAAGGGATTTAGCTGGGATTTTTAGCGTGGAAAATGTGCTCTATTCCCCTCTTTGCATCAATTCCCTTCCAGCCTGGATTTTCTTCGATCTCTCCAGAGAGTGGCTCCTAATTTACAGTTCTCTTCAGCTGTAATGTGTGGAGATCATCCATCATCGCTAAGTGCCTTTGGGCCTGTCCGTTTTGGGACAAGATAAGGGAGTATCAACTCTCACACTCCCGACAATTAAAGCTTTTAAGTACACTCTGAAAGCATTTCCAAGATGGCATTTGCAGAGGAAGAGCTTCTAAGATGATTTTGTTCAGGGTGTAGAGCCCCTCCCTGCCTGGACAGTAAAAAAAAAAAAAAAAACCTTTAAAAGTGCCACCTTTGGGCAAAATTTGAAGTGTTTGATGGACTCAGAATATCAGGAATCTAGGAATGGAAAAGAAAAAAAAAAATCACATTTCCAGCTCGTCCCCCTGGATGTTCTAGTGGATATATCTGTAATTCCAGAGAAAGCACTGCAGTGAGGTGTGTTCAGGGGAAAAGCAAAGAGAATTAATTAATCCCAAGCCAATTGTGTGAAACTAATGCAGCCTCTGTGCTGTCCACTAGATGATGCAGCTGCACTGCAGAGAAATCAGGAATTGCTGTATATCCACATGCAATTCTAACCCTATTTACTGGATTTATATTTTTAGCAGTAAAAAGTATTGTCTTCAATGATACCCCACGATTGGATTTAGACAAATGGTTGAAAATTCCATTTTCTTTCTGCTGGTTTCAAGTGAAACTTGGAGCTTTCTGGTCCTTTTAACTCCTCTCAGTTTTACTGTATTTTAAATTGGTTGGAGCTTGAACCTCTCTCAGCTTGAACCATGTCATTCCACCCTGAAACTGTCACTCAAGACAGAGTTAATAGTTCAAATTTTGTTACTTTGGGCTGGATGATCTTGAAGGTCTTGATGATTTTGGAATGGTTTGGTTACTGGGGTTGCAGTGGAGAATTCTCTGCTCGTGGGTTTTGTTTCTTCAGGATTAGGAGCCAGATGAATCCTTTGCACAGATGCCTCTCTATAATATAATGTCCATGGATGCAGCTGATTGAACTTGGATTGAGATGGTTCCTCTGGCTGTGGTGATTTTGGAGAAGAGAAGCTTTGGTGTGACCCGAGTGTGGCCTTGCAGGACCTGAGGGAGCTCTAAGAAAGGTGGAGAGAGACTATTCCCAAGAGATGGAGTGCCAGGACAAGGGGGAATGGCTTCAAACTGAGAGAGAGCAGGGTTAGATGGGATATGGGGAAGGAATTCTTGGCTTTGAGGGTGGGGAGGGTCTGGGATAGAATTCCCAGAGAATCCCCACCTTGTCCCCCAGCCCAGAGCGCTGAGTGCCACGGCCAGGCCTGCCTTGGACACCTGCAGGGCTGGGCACTCCAA